CAACTATTTTGCATTCCTTCAGAGTTCAGAGTTAACAGTTCACAGGAAATCCCTCAAGATCCATCTCGGATCCATGGCTCGCGAACATGGATCCGAGATGGATCTTGAGGGATTTTCTCAAAACTCTAAGCTCTGAGGGAATGCAAAATAGTTGGTTTGTTGAGGGGCATCTGTTAGCCATGTTTTCCACAATACTTCAACGCTTAAATACCACTATGGTCATCTCGATTTTCGTCTTTGGTCGTCTGGGATCCATGCCCATGTCTGCTTCTAACTCGACTCCTGGGCCACGTAGCGATACGCGGAAGGCGGCGTTCGAAAGAGCACCAAAAATAATAACGAAATCACTTCGGTCACTTTTTTAGTCAGGCTAAAGGTCAGAGGCCATTCTTATAAAGAAAAAGGACGGAGGGACGGAAGGAAAAAAGAACTCAATGAATTAAACGATTCCGTCCTTTTTGGTTATCATAAAGGTTCCGTCCCTCTACCCCTCCCCCTTCGTTGTTTTGCTAGGATGCGTTTTTCGTCTAAATGATCAAGAGCTTTAGTAAATGAAACAGGAATTATTTCCTGCAATATTTTCTTATAAATTTCGTCACAAAGAATGCAATAAGACTAAGAAAATACTGTGTGATCGCTATATGGGTATAATAAAATGAGAACCTGCAATTATTTGGGATCACATTTGAATTTTATGGGACCGGGGACTGTTGTCTGCTACGATACATAGCCTTGGCCAGAGGCCTTGGCTACGATCAAGGATAATATAGATAGGCGAAGTATGTAATATGTTGTAGTCTTTCCTGCTAGGCTGAAACCCACCAAAGATTGTTTTTGCGTATAAATGTGGTAATGCCTATGTCTTACTCAGTGATAGGATGTCTAATAAGCGGTAAGGGAACAACGCAGACACCCTGAGTTAGCGTGGCGGCTCGGGACAAGCGGTAGAGATAAAAGAGGAGGGAATACTGATAAGGCATCTTTCGCTCAAGGGGACGACGCGGCGCGCGGCGAACGCGCGAGGCGGCTCGGGATGAAAGGGAGGGAGAGAGGGAAGGAGTAGGTAGAGAGAGAGAGAGAGAGAGACGGGGCGCAGGTGTTGTTTTGACGAACTGACGCTAAAGAGGGGGGAGGGGGAGCGGGGGAAGAAATGGCCTGTGGATCTTCTCTGTGTGGGGACAGCGAGGACAGTCCAGCGAGAGCGCTTGAGCGTGGTGGAGTGTATACGAATTTCTCTGCGTGCAAACAAGAACTTTAAGTGCTAACGAGAAGTTGTAGTGCCACGTGACTCAGACCTCCAACCGTGATACCAGTCGAGGCGCCAGAGGACACAGGACACAGGCCAGGTGAGGGTGGAGCTACTGGGAGGCAGTTGCAAACAGTTAACACCTACCACTTACTGGATATTGCATCTCAAGGTGTCCAATCCTGCCTGTTAATGTGTATGCCCGATAAACAACGATAGCTGCAGAACGATAAGGTGGCGGTCTATAGGTACTTGGTCTGCATGTGAACTTGACTAATTTTCGTGTGAAATAACTCCCGACCAATGTCATACAGTTCACATATCGATTAGCACGCAGCCTGAAACACATTTCGCACAAGTTGCTCTCGCAACTAGCTAAATATCGTATCAATGCCGTAAAAAAGCGCTGCTGAAGAGCAGCGCTATTTCTGATGCGTTATTTTTCACGAACAACGCAAAGTCTTACGTCACCAGAGGCGTCTTTGTCTCTTTATGATACGGAAACGCGTTCTTTTGGGTGGGGGTAGCGTCAATCTGGCTTCGTTCTTTTAACGGGTTCCGTCTTTCGTCTTCGTCCTTTTATGATAACCAAATTCCGTCTAATCTCAGAAATGACGGAGCGTCCCTCCGTTCTTTTCTTTATAAGAATGGCCACAGGTCGCCAGTGGTCAAAGGCAAAATGTCGCCGATTTTCAGGTCAAATGTCGATAGTTTCCAAGAAGCCAACGCATAACTCGGGAACCGATATAGCTACATCGACGCGGAAAAGCGACTTCAATAGCCCTATTAACGCCCTTTCTGAATAATTCTCTCAGATTTGACCTAGAGCCAACGGTTTTGCCTGCAGGGGGCAAAAACTGCCAAAATAACCAATATTTTGGAAAGTTTTTCTGCAATAACTTTTGACTCAAGCCTTGCACGAGCTTACTTTTACCAACATGACCTGACCGGAAAGGGTCATGTTGCATATCAGTCGATCCGTATCGTCGAGCTGAGCACATCCAAGGCGTTTTCATCGCTCTAGCATGCCTCTATCAAAAGGTATTCGCGAAAAACTGTTAGATACTATTCGTGACCTGAGATGACCTCAGGGGCATAAACAGGGGTCTCGGATACTATTTTCATGTTCAATGTGTCTTAATTTCTTGTAATTCAGTGTTTGGAAGTGTTTATAATGGCTTTGGTCCAAAAGAGGCGCCTTTCAATTTTCTCCCATTGACTTATAATGGGGGGGGGAGGGGGGGGTCGCAAAATTGACCTGACCTTCGGTCATCGATATCAAAACTCTGAGATATGCAGAGTTTATCTTAGTATAGTTTACAGCGCGGAGCGCCGTCGTTTTTGGCACACCTTATAATACATCAATTCTACACATGTTTTAAAAATTTAAGACCAAGGTCATTTAAGGTCAGGTCACCAGGTAACTTGAAGTGACCTCACCTCATAAAAAGCTTCAATGTCCGCCATAGCTACACCAAGTGACCGATCGCTTCGAAAGTTTCAACGATTGCTAAGAGCAATAGTATGTACAAAATGTATTATAAGGTGTGCCAAAAACGGCGGCGCTCCGCGCTGCCGTTTTTTTTAGATATTCGTGAAAAAACACAGGGGGGTGTTCAAACACCCCCCCCCCCTCCCAGCAGGGCGCGGGTTAAACACCGATGATGTACCGTTATGTTAAACGCCATGCGATTGACTAACCGGCGCCGGGCCGGTGCTCGGCGCCACCTGCACGGGGGGGGGGTGTTTGAACTCTCCCCTTCTCACTCGGCTCCTGGGCCACGTAGTGACACGCCGTAGGCGGCGTTCGAAAGAGCGGCAGAAGTAATGAAGAAATTATATCGGCCACTTTTTAGGTCAGCTCAAAGGTCAGGTCAACAGAGGTCACCAAAGGTAAAATTTAGCCACTTTCCAGGTCAAACTTCGATAATTTCGACAAACCGGCGCATAGCTTAGGAACGGTTTAGCCTGCAGGGGCCAAAAACTGCCAGAATAGGTAGATGGTTTTTGCGGGAACTGTTTTTCTGCAATACCTTTTGACTCAAAACATGCACGAGCTTACTTTCAGCAACATCGTGTTTCTCTCGTCAAGGCGACGCATCGAAAGAACTATAAGTTGACCTCAAAAGTTCAAGTTGAAAAATTTACTTTAGGTCAAGGTCATGACCTCAGGACAAGGTCATGGTCTCAGGTCAATGTCATGACCTGACCAGAAAAGGTCATGCTGCATCAGTCGATCCGTATTGTCGAGCCAAACACAAACGCATAAGGTTTTTCTCATCGCTCTAGCATGTCTCTGTCAAAAGTTATTTGCGAAAAACTGTAGGATACCATTCGTGACCTGAGACGACCTCAGGGACATTAAGAGGGGTCACGGGTACCATTTTCCGTTTCAGTTTGTCATGTCTACTTGTAATTCGATGTTTGAAAGTGATAAGAATGACGTTCGGCCAAAAGAGGCGCCTTTCAATTTTCTCCCATTGACTTATAATGGAGAGGTCGCAAAATTGACCTGACCTTAGGTCACCGATATCGAAGTTCCGAGAGATACATTTTGTGTATCATTATTATTATTATTATTGTATACATTATGTGTATTGCGTATACTGTTGTTTTATCAGTTACTCAAAGTTTCAAGGTGATCAGTCACTCGGTGTAGCTGTGACAGGCATTGAAACTGTTTCATGTAGTAAGGTCACTTGACGTGATATGGTGACCTGACCTTGGATTACTTTGGTCTGAAGTTTTCACAGAAGGCGTAGAAAAGATTTATGATAAGGTGTGCAAAACACGGTGGCACTCTGAGCCGCCGTTTTTTAGATATTCGCGAGAAACCGGAGGGGTTGTTCAAACAGCCCCCCCGCAGTGCGTGGGTAGGGGTGTGTGATCAAGGATGAGGGTGTTACATACCTAACCTATGCACGTTTGCCTCATTTACCTACATAAGCACACCCGCCAATATAATAGATTTCTCACGGTCTTGATGCCCGCTTCTCCTCGTCGCCTGCTCGGCACCGGTCCCCGCGGCACCCGCAGCGTCGATAGTCGGCCGGTGCAGCGTTCAGAGGTATCGTGCTCCCGCCTGCTCGCAACCATTCCCCTCGGCACCCTCCGACCGCCCGCAGCGTCGATAGCCCGCCGGTGCAGCGTCCAGAGGTATCGTGTTTCTAAGGGACTTAGTGGCATTCCACTCTATTTCCTGGTGGCTTCCAAAAAAAAAAAACCACTGCCACGGCACCATTACCCCATCTGGTGGCTGACTTGTTAAATATCAATTCACCAGGCTTCAACCAGAGGCATTTTGTACCTTCCGATTTTAGACGATGTGATTCTGTATGATACGATCATCTCGTTTTGTAGGTTTCATTTTTGTATGATACGCGTTTGTTTGATCTGCCATTGTACGTTCCAATTTTGTACGTTCTGATCATTGTTTGATTTGCCATTGTACGCTTTACCCATTGGACGGTTAACTTTGTACGTTGGGATTTTGTACGCTGCGCTTTTGTACGTTTGGGCTGTCCCCTACCTGGCCTGTTTTGTAGGTTTTGCGCGTTGTATGTTACGATTTTGTATGTTTTGAGGATTGTACGCTGCGCTTTTGTATGCTTTGATAGCCACCCGTTGACACCCGGAGGGCTCTGATACGCTCCACGTACTCGTCAGCTCCCTGCAATGTCTGAGCCGGACGTGGTGATGGGGCGACCCGCGGCGGTGATAGGGGGAAGGCGGCCCGCGCGGTGCGGGGGCTCACCGGTGTGCTTCATCTCGATCATGTCGCAGATGATCTTGTTGTTGAAGTACTCGACGGGCACCCAGGCGATGCCCTCAGCCAGGTACTCCTCCTGTTCCGACTTGAGCGTCAGCTCGATGAACACCTGCTGCAGCTTCTCGTTGCAGTAGTTGATGCAGAACTGCTCGAACCTTTGACGAAACAGATGAAAACGTGAAAACGATTAAGAGACGCTGGGCGCTGGCACAATCCAGCATAACGTTTGACTGCAGCGCGTCTCAGTCTAACGCAGTAGCATTAGCAGTAGCTGATCACGCAAAACGTCCAATCTTAGCATGGAAATGGGATTTGCTTCAAGCCGTTGCGGTCTATGGCATATGTTCAGTGTTAATCATCAGTTTGGATAGCAGATGAAGGAATTGTCATGCCTATGACGCGTGATTATACATAATGTCGATTATACGTGACTATGTATAATGTCGACAGAGGTGTATTATGTATACAGTTGCAGCTATACGTCTTTTGGATAAAGGCCAACATCAGCGAACCAGCACAGGCTGTCGCTGACCTTACCAGGCACACCGAAACTGCACGCTCACGGCTCAGGAAACGTGCAGCCATTGCAATCGTTCTATGCCAGTCTTCCCCCGAACTAGTCTACAAGAACTGCCAGTAGGGTTACTATGAACGCAGTATGTTCCGGGCCTGATGCGTCACTCACGAGTTACTCTTGAACACCTCGAAGCCGTAGATGTCGAGGATGCCGAGCAGACTGTGGCGCGTGCCCTGATCGTGGCTGGCCAGTGACATGTTCAGCCGGCGCACCAGCCATGTGAACAGCCGGTCGTACACGGCTTTACTCAGGGCGTCTCGGGCGTACACGCCTGCCGCAGAGGCCCAGCGCAGCGTCAGGATGCGGCACAGGCAGACCGCACAATGTACGGTCGTCTTAGTGCATTCTAAAAACTCTGTGACCGAACGTGCTCGCTCAAAATGAATTAGAAAAAATGTAAAATAGCCCGTAATAGGATTTTACAGCCCTGGAGTACAACATCAACCATTCTCACTACAAAGAACACCCGTTCCGTCGTTTGCATCCTCAGGGTATTTAAATCCTTCTCCACGCCGCATCCCCTTTTCCACGTCGCATGAGACAAGGTTGGCTGGACAGCCAGCCTTATCTCATGCGGGCGGCTCCCATTGGAGCTTACCGCAGCTCCTAAGGGAGTCCATCCGTAGCCGGGAGAAGTGAGTGCTTGGGGTGGAGTGGGGGGGGGGAAGGCCTGTCCTAACAGATGGGATTGGGCTCAGCCCCGGCGACTCACTAGGGCCTGCCCAGACCAATGTCTCTCCCTAATTCCTATCATTCTCACGGCTCTGCAACGATCTCATATGACCGAAAGGGCCTAATCATAATAATAATAAAACTCGAAAGAACACTTAACAATTCAAGTTGAATGATAAACCAATAGGGAGAGCAATCTAGAATTGAAACATGATATAACTACTGAAATGGGATAATAAAATGGTATATTAAACGAGGATGGTGTATGCTATGAAAAATTAAGTTTGTTACGGGAACGAAAGAAATGAAGTGCCTTACAATACATTTCATAAGAGAGCATTTGTGAGTCACCCTTGAGAAACCATTTAAGAGTCCTTTACAATCACCAATTGAAAGAATTAGTTTTGAGTAAGGGAGAACGTGCAATGTACGTGCAATGCAATGCATGTACTTATGTACATATACAAGTGTGGGCGGGGTTATCATTCTTCATTCACAGTGTGTGTAGATACGAGTCCTCACTTTGTTCCACGCCGAGGGTGGTGGTAACCACGTCCGCCTGGGCCTCGATGGTCCGGTGGGTGAGCGCCCGCTGCATACTGTCGGCGGGGATCCCCAGCACCTGCACGGGCGGCGGCTCTCAGGTCAGCACTGAGCACGGCTACAGCTCACCAGCGCCACACGTCGGCGGCCGCTGCGAGCTCACAGCTTCCACCGGCGGCCCGAACACGGAGACACGTCAGCGGGACACACCTGTTCGGTCACCTGTGAGCAGGGCTGCGGAGTCGGAGTCGGAGTCGGAGTCATCCGAAAATCCATCGACTCCGCAGCCCTGGCTGTGAGCCTGAGCACGTCTCGTCACAATCGGAGCGCAAATCGTCACATACTGCCTGTCTATTTATACCTCCCTACACACATTACACACGTGCCTGAAGTCGATAAGGTAATTGTTTGTCACCCAAATGGCTGACACACAATCAGCCTTGGGCAGTACCTGATTTGCCCCTGATATTGCACGCGCCGCCCCTGTCCCGGACGCGCTCCGGCAGTGTGCCCACTGCCCCGCGGTGTGATCAGTGATGCGCTGACCTTGGCCAGGCGCTGGGTGGTCTCGGCGTTGTCGACGCTGCACGAGACGCCGTCCACGTCCTGGAAGTGCACGTTGCCCAGGTGCAGGATGGCCGCCACGATGGCTTGCACGTCACGCTGCTCGCCGCTGCCGAAGCCCACAATGTCCATCGAGTTCACCACCGTGTGGTACTGGTCGGCGTCGTTCATCCCATCGCGCTCGTGGCCAGACTGGTGGGGGTCAGACAGCAGAGGTCAGAGCGGTAGGTACTACACTCCTGGTAGACGGAAGGGACGACGGAAGGGAAGGCACGCCTGGCAGTGTAAAACAAACTGTCTGCTTAACAAACTGTCGTATATGCTCATCAAGCAACACAAAACACGCAACCTAGTTTGATAACACATGCAGGAAATCGTAGTACGTAAGGGGAATGCTTGTTTTTTTTGGGGGGGGGGTAGGCCCTTTCAGTCTGACAAGACCATTTCAGAGCCGGAAGGATGGTAGTTATTAGGGAGAGGCATTGTGATTGGTCTGGGCAGGCACCCTAGAGAGTCGCCGGCCGGGGCTGAGCCTGTCCGAATGGACAGGCCGACCAGCCCCCCAAGCACTCTCTGCACCCGGCTACGGGGTGCGCTCCTTCGGGAGATGAGATAAAGTTGCCTGGCCAGCCCGGAGTGGGGATTGCGGCGTGAAGGAGAAGGTTATCAGCATCCTGAGGATGGAAACGACGGACGGAGTGACTTTAAGGGAATAGTAAGGGGAAAGTTATGTTGGGTTAATTTTCCTATGCCGATCAAGGCCGTCGTGCCTCTCAGTGGCCGCGTCCCTTCCGAGAGCCCGTTTCACCCCTCACCTGTTTGGTGTAGTTGAAGGCCTTCGGGTCCCGCTCCAGGCACAGCTCCTTGAGCAGCTCGTCCGAGGCGCCGGCCAGCAGCAGGTGGAACACGTGGAAGTTGCACTCCCCAGGCGCCTGCGACACCACGCGCGACTTCTCCAACAAGTAGTTCCGAATGTGGCCGCCAGTCGGCTCTCCCTGCGGCCGGGCAGACCGGGGCATCAACAGCCGGCGGCGGGGCAGACCGGGGCATCAGCCATCAACAGCCGGCGGCGGGGCAGACCGGGGCATCAACAGCCGGCGGCGATGGGCAGACCGGGGCATCAACAGCCGGCGGCCGGGCAGACCGGGGCATCAACAGCCGGCGGCGGGGCAGACCGGGGCATCAACAGCCGGCGGCGGGGCAGACCGGGGCATCAGCCATCAACAGCCGGCGGCGGGGCAGATCGGGGCATCAACAGCCGGCGGCGGGGCAGACCGGGGCATCAACAGCCGGCGGCGGGGCAGACCGGGGCATCAGCCATCAACAGCCGGCGGCGGGGCAGACCGGGGCATCAACAGCCGGCGGCGGGGCAGACCGGGGCATCAACAGCCGGCGGCGATGGGCAGACCGGGGCATCAGCAGCCGGCGGCGGGGCAGACCGGGGCATCAGCAGCCGGCGCGATGGGCAGAGGACATCAGCCACAGCCGCCGACAGGCGGCCGCAGAGCGTCGTCGCCAGAGGTGACAGAAAAGCCGACCAGCAGCTCAGCAGATAGACAGCCAGTCGAGCGGTCACCGGTATGTACAAGCGGATAGAATAAAAACGAGACTTGTTAGACACCTTTTTACGCCAAATTTAGGCGGCAGTGCACCCATTTCAGTAATAGTGCAGGCGATTTCGACAGTAACTAGTTACGGCATAGTCTATTTATGGCGAACTGTCGAAACCGTTTGCACTTTTACTGAACTGTGTGCACTATGTCTATATTTGGCAGTAAAAAGGTATAGTATACCTAATCGATAAGCTCGGCAACCTGTTGGGAAAAAATAGGATATGTTTCAGCACGAGTCTGCGTCATGCCAAAGTGCCCACCATTTTGGTCGTGGACAAGGAGAAGCCTTTGCACTTTAGCCGTGTGTGTGCGCTCGACTGATGGAAACGTGTGCTGTCGCTGCTGGCGTCAGCAGCGGCTCGGTATGATCAGTTCACCCACGGCGACGTCAGTTCGCACACAGCGGCTCGGTATGATCAGTTCACCCACGGCGACGTCAGTTCGCACACAGCGGCTCGGTATGATCAGTTCACCCACGGCGACGTCAGTTCGCACACAGCGGCTCGGTATGATCAGTTCACCCACGGCGCTCACGGCTCACAGTGAGCTCAGCGGTGAGCTCAGTGCTCACAGCGCGGCGCTCACTGCTCAGTAGGGCCAGACAGCCGGAGCTGTGCTCAGTGGGACCAGACAGCGGGAGCTGTGCTCAGTGGGACCAGACAGCGGGAGCTGTGCTCAGTGGGACCAGACAGCGGGAGCTGTGCTCAGTGGGACCAGACAGCGGGAGCTGTGCTCAGTGGGACCAGACAGCGGGAGCTGTGCTCAGTGGGACCAGACAGCGGGAGCTGTGCTCACTGCTCAGTGGGACCAACCAGACAGCGGGAGCTGTGCTAAGTGGGACCACACAGCGGGAGCTGTGCCCAGTGGGACCACACAGCAGAAGCTGTGCTCAGTGGGACCAGACAGCGGGAGCTGTGCTCAGTGGGACCACACAGCGGGAGCCGCGCTGCCCGCTCAGTGCTGCCAGTGCTACCGCGGAATTACATGGTCTGAATCCGTGGCCGGGATGCAGGAAATTCACACCCCGTCACACCCCACACGGGTGGGGTGTGACGCGTGCCCAGATAGGCAGCGAGGTTTAACTCGGGAATAGTTCAAGTGGCCGATAACCTTAATCTTCACTCGACTCAAGTGACAGTTATGCAGAGACAAGAGGAATGTTAAACAGGCTACACCCTTCGATAGACACACTGCAGCCGAATAGATAACGCCGTTTGCCTTGGCCCTTGCCACGCTTGCGATTCTTCGCCGCAGGCGCTCTTCAGTGGGCATCACAATAAAACTGCTACTCCCTCGCTGTAAAACAATCCCATTGAGCTACACGATTCTAGCAGCATACAGGGTGGACCAAAAAGGATGGAAACATTTTGAACTCGCATAAAATATGTGTTATGGCATGCAGGTGACTGAAATGATACCAAACGAGAGTGCATTTTGTGGAAATTCGTAATGGCATCTCTCTCATCTGCTTTCTCTCGTTTTCAGTCTCCCACAGCAAATGTTCGAAGAGGCCACTTTTGCGAGACAGGCAAAGAGCGGCCCGCCTGGCTGCTGACGCGATAGCCCGATGACACATGTCCGCTGGTTTGGCTCGCACTGGCGTCAGGAGCGGAGCGAGCCGGCCTCAAGGATGACCGTCTCGTCAGTTCGCACACAGCGGCTCGGCATGATCAGTTCACCCACGGCGACGTCAGTTCGCACACAGCGGCTCGGTATGATCAGTTCACCCACGGCGACGTCAGTTCGCACACAGCGGCTCGGTATGATCAGTTCACCCACGGCGACGTCAGTTCGTACACAGCGGCTCGGTATGATCAGTTCACCCGCGGCGAGAGGGAGCTCGGCCCGCGCCGGAACTGCCGGAACTGGCGCAGTGCTCACTGCCCAGAGGGACCACACAGCGGGAGCTGTGCTCAGTGGGGCCACACAGCGGGAGCTGTGCTCAGTGGGACCAGACAGCGGGAGCTGTGCTCAGTGGGACCAGACAGCGGGAGCTGTGCTCAGTGGGACCAGACAGCGGGAGCTGTGCTCAGTGGGACCAGACAGCGGGAGCTGTGCTCAGTGGGACCACACAGCGGGAGCTGTGCTCAGTGGGACCAGGCAGCGGGAGCTGTGCTCAGTGGGACCAGACAGCGGGAGCTGTGCTCAGTGGGACCAGACAGCGGGAGCTGTGCTCAGTGGGACCAGACAGCGGGAGCTGTGCTCAGTAGGAGACAGCGGGAGCTGTGCTCAGTGGGACCAGACAGCGGGAGCTGTGCCCAGAGGGACCACACAGCGGGAGCTGTGCTCAGTGGGACCAGACAGCGGGAGCTGTGCCCAGAGGGACCACACAGCGGGAGCTGTGCTCAGTGGGACCAGGCAGCGGGAGCTGTGCTCAGTGGGACCAGACAGCGGGAGCTGTGCCCAGAGGGACCACACAGCGGGAGCTGTGCTCAGCGGGACCACACAGCGGGAGCTGTGCTCAGTGGGACGAGGTAGCCGGAGCTGTGCTCAGTGGGACCAGACAGCGGGAGCCGCGCTGCCCGCTCAGTGCTGCCAGTGCTGCCGCGGAATTACATGGTCTCTGAATCCGTGACCGGGATGTAGAGGGGCGTTGGGGTGTGACGCGTGCCCAGATAGGCAGCGGGGTTTAACTCGGGAATAGTTCAAGTGGCCGATAACCCTAATCTTCACTCGACTCAAGTGACAGTTATGCAGAGACAAGGGGAATGTTTAACAGGTTACGCCCTTCGATAGACACACTGCAGCCGAATAGATAGCGCCGTTTGCCTTGGCCCTTGCCACGCTTGCACTTCTTCGCCGCAGGCGCTCTTCAGTGGGCATCACAATAAAACTGCTACTCCCTCGCTGTAAAACAATCCCATTGAGCTACACGATTCTAGCAGCATATAAATAACTCGACAACGGATCAACAGATCTGAGACCAGTCGAGCCTGCCACAGAGCCGCTCACCATGAAGTTGAACTCGACGTCCATGTACTTGCCGAAGCGGCTCGAGTTGTCGTTGCGCACGGTGCGGGCGTTTCCGAACGCCTCCAGCACCGGGTTGGACTGGATGAGCCGGTCGCGCACGCTGCGCACCTCGGCGCCGGTCCTGCTGCACACCTCGCCGATGTACTGCAGGATCTTCTTGGACGCCTCCGTCTTTCCGGAGCCCGACTCGCCTGACGGTCACGATAACAATTCACGTCAAACAGGTACGTATCTATACAGTATCCACCTGGACGTCTCAATCTGCACCGGACGGCAGCACACAAAAACATAGGCTGGCTAAAAAAAACAGGTTTCAACAGTTTTCCTCATTCATGGTCGTGTCCGAAAGAACAAACACTAGAAGTTAAGATAAGCCGTGTTCCACACAATGGCCGCACTTACAAGTAGTTATGGCTTTCTTTGATTGGATTATAGGTTTGGAACTGCCGAAGCAGATCGTCGATGTGAAAAAAATGGTTACATTACTAAAAGAATACCAGTTAGAGGCACGTGAAGCTGGAGAATAATTAATGCTTATGTGTTCAACTTGAACGGTCTGTTGACGTAAGCAGTGCGAAGTCCGCAAAATCGGAAACAAGGTCATAGCTCCTGGAGGGAATGCAGGACCAGCCGGCGCTTTGGGTGCTTGATCGGGACGCCTGGACAGCACGGTCACCGGTGTTGTCACGCGGCGCGGCCGTGACGAGAGAGTGACAGGTCACCTGGCACCGTGCCAGTCGCGCCGTCCGACGCGCTTCAGCAGGGCGAGAGGCAGCCGAAAGGGCGCCGTACCCAGACCAGAAGACGCGACTCGACACCCTCAAATGTCCCACAGACTCGATAGGCCAGCGATAAACTGTGACGAAACGCGGACAACTGCCACACGAGGATCTGCCGAACACCAATGAAATGCTCATAGATACGCTCTCTTATACATGAGTTAGATAACTAATGCTGCCAACTCCAAACTTTTCTGATGAGCGTCACTTAATAGTTCCTTAAAGTTACCATCCCACCATAGTATTAGTTTTGAGTTAAGATAACCAAAATGGGGTCCCTGGCTTGCACTTTCAGGTTTGAGCACATCGAGAAATGCCTTAAATCGAAAATATCTAATTTTAAAGTTGCAGCACTTTGGATTCACAGGGGCTAATGCATTAGACTCTGAATGTGTGACGTCAGCGCAGATCTAACGATTTTAAATTTTTTGCTTAAACGTTTGGTAGCACGCGGTAGTATAGGGATAGTGATAGGGATGCTGTTTTGCGCGCAACAAGTGCCGCACTTTCAGCTGCCAAACTCTTGCTTCCAGATAAAGTCGCTAGGAACAGCGGAGATCCCAAAAAGTAAGCAAAAGTATAAGTATAATAGCTTGAAAACCGGTAAAAAAATTTCGGTGAGCTTTGGTAGACATTCATTTTCGCTCTTTTTGAACCGAGCGACATCAGTTTCGTACCAATTCATTAACTTTTTTGAAGGTGGGAGGTCCCTTTAACCCGCGAGTTGCTGGGGGGGGGCGTTAAACGCCCCCACTTTTTTCGCCGGTCCATAGCATAAAAACGGCGCGCCGCAGGCGCGCCAAATTTTGGGTACCTGTAGGGAATTGATAGAAGTGTATTGTGACAAAGTTTCAAAAAAAAAAAATCGGTTGGAAAATTTTTGAGATATCGAGGTTTTAGTGACGTCATGATTTCTGAGTTTTCGACCAAAAACGGCATATGTTCAAAAAATCATATAAAATCACAGAATAGACATACCTACATAGTATGTACAGGGTGATTCATAGCCGTGTGACCTATTTAGCTGATCTCTCTTGAGAAGAGGATTGCATATTTGCGCGTGAAATTTCACGTGCTAGTAGAAAATTTTATGAAGTTTTGTTCTGCCTTGGTCTGGTCTGTGCTGTGCGTATCGCTCAAGATGTACACAGTGCAGCAAAATGTAGAACTGTGTCATTTGTATAATTTGACGCAGTCCGTTAAGCAAACACCAATATATTTCTGCACATCTGAGGGCTTGCACCCTATGGGAAGCTCCAAAGAACATAACAATTAATAGAATTGTTGATAAATTCAAAACAGAGGACACGGTTCAATGATAAACACGGCAGGAAAAAATTGGTAAGAGAACCCCGGAAAGATGATTTCAAAGAGCATTGAGGACGAGGTCCGGTGGGCCGCCACACTCGCCGGATCTCAACGTCGCACAATTCTTCCTCTGGGGCTATGGAAAGCCCGAGGTCTATTAGGAAAGTCCCCAGGATATCATGCGGCTGAAGAACGCTATTGCAAGCTTCTTTGGCTCCATTTCATTAGACATGTGGTGCGCCCGCGCCATCGCCAACTTTAGGGCTCTGGTGCTGGAGTGCATCCGTCGCCGAGGTGGCCATTTTGAGTATCTTGTCTAAAAGGAGTGTGAGCTTCAAAGGAAAAGTGTATATGACTGATGCAATACATGGATCAAAACTTCAGATTTGGCTCTTTCATATGGTACTAAGCAATCGCATGTAACACGAAAGCATTTCCTGTACTTTTCATTTATTTTCGGTCACACGGCTATGAATCACCCTGTACATACATGCCGTAAGCGCCATCAGACTGCCAATACCATGAACAATCAAATGGCTATCTTCGATTATTGATTATCGTACCGCATTTTCCAAAATCTTGAACTGAATCTTGGCAATTTCTCGTGACTTCTTCACTACCATGATACATGCATTTCTTAAATTGAACTTTTTGAGCCAAACACGTACACATATGATAAAATGAATGTCACCATCGTGTTCTACGCCCCAAATTACCCGCAAAACATGTGTCACAGGCTGCGAATATCAGCTTTGATTTTCGGGGATATGTGCCTACCCGGTTGACCTGACCTTGACCCTGACCTATGCTTGACTGACCCCTACATGGACCTGACACTCTTGTAGGCCTTATAAGATGGATTGTGCACCGTTTTGACAGAGTTTATGACGAGAGGCGCCCATTGCGAAGTCCTGAAGTTCATGCTACTGAAAGCCCGATTTCAGGTGTTTGACCTGACCTTGACCCGACCTGTGACCTCAAAATTCAACTTTAAAGTATTCATCTGAAGCGTCTCGTCGCGTTCTTTCGTTTGCCGCCTCGTGCGTTTCGCTGCGCCTATTGGTTCTCGAGTTATCGGCTGGGGGCGTTTAACGCCCCCCCCCCCCCAGCAAACGGTGGGTGGCGAAATACCCCAGCAACTGCCGTTAAAAGAGGCTGAATATATTCAGGCGAATATTTTTTCGGCGTATACGCCGAAAGTATTGCATCAGAAGGCCGTTAGTCTGTCATCATCAAACCGTTTTCCTTGGTTTTCTGCACGTCAGCGCTGTTGAACAGCAGAGCAGCACTGCCGTCCCCTGCCCTGCGTGAGGTGAGGACCGACCGTGTCATGTCACCTCCGCTCCGTCTCAGTCAGCTGAGCGGCTAGCCGAGCGCCGTCCAGGTGGACGGGCGCCGCGGCCCGTGTCGGGGTCAGCTAGCCTCGGGCAGGATCTCGGCCGCCACTATCGACGGCTGGCGTCATCGCTATCGGCCTATCAGCTCCACCGCATCCACCACGGCCGCCCGGCCCCATGGGCACCCGTGACGACCGCCGGAGCCCGCAGCGGGACTTATCTGAGCTCAGGGGGCGGGGGGGGGGGCTTCCTGGGTCCGGGGTCGCAACTCTCACAGTCATCTGAGGTAATCTGAGCTCCATCAAGGGCGCCCAACAGAGCAGAACGAGACGCTTCTGCCGCTGAGACGGGTGGCTGGAGCGACCCGCAGATACACGGCGACAAATACCTCGGCGACGTGCGGATGGATCTTGTACAGCGAATGGAGGCCGGTGTCAGTGACGCTCGATCCTCGAAGATGAGTCACTCTAAGACGGAGAGTATCCCGTATCCAGTCCGAGGATCAGGCGATTTGTGAGAAGCAGGAACTCGGCACTGCCGTCCCTAACCCCCGGTTGGACGCAGCTGACACGTGTTATCTCACGTGTGATCTCACGTGGTACGGTACGGGCTGCGGTACGGGCGCAGGACGCGGGATGGATCAGGGATGGATCAGAGATGGATCGCCGGAGCTCTGGCCGTGAGACTGCCCTACCTGAGCTCAGGATGGAGCTCTGGCCGTGAGACTGCCCTACCTGAGATCAGGATGGATCTCTGGCCGTGAGACTGCCCTACCTGAGATCAGGATGGATCTCTGGCTGTGAGACTGCCCTGCCTGAGCTCAGGATGGAGCTCTGGCCGTGAGTCTGCCCTACCTGAGATCAGGATGGAGCTCTGGCCGTGAGACTGCCCTACCTGAGATCAGGATGGATCTCTGGCTGTGAGACTGCCCTGCCTGAGCTCGGGATGGAGCTCTGGCCGTGAGTCTGCCCTACCTGAGATCAGGATGCACTGGTCGCGCGTCTCCTCGACCAGCGACGTCAGAGCTCCGTTGATCACGGCGTAGCTGCCGACAGAGAAACAGGTCCCTAGGTCAAGAGTTAAAGGTCAAAAGTAAAAAAGAAAAAATATCCCCAAAAATGAAAAACAAAGAAAAATTATAAATGATATAGCTCTTAAGACCGAAAAAGACGTAAAGAGCGTTTACGAGTAGATAAACGTGAAACAGAAAATTAAAACTGTACATTCCAAAAACTTGAATACTCAAAGTAAAAACGAAATGGATAGAAATTTAATCGGGAAAAAGTCAAATAAAGAGAGTAAAAAATATCGACGTATAGGTCGATGGGAAGGTACGTCCATACTTAGAGCTACCTAAAAAACACTTAAGTGCAAAGTAAAAAGGTTAAAAGTTTGACAGAAAAAAAAACAAATGGCAAAACCTAGCAATATCGTTTTTTTAAAGCTTAACATAGTAGAACTTTAAAAAAACTTAGCAGTCGAATCTAATTCTATTGTAAGTTACTACTGTTTTGCTTATAGGCTTGGCACATTTTTCATGAACACATTAGGTATTTATTTGTTAACCCGCTCATGACTGGGGTATTTTCCATAACGCGAGTGACTGGGGGGTCTCTCCAGAGCCCACCCCCCCCCTCCTATCTCAGAAACTAATGGGCAGATCGTCAAAATTCAGACGGCGTCTGATAGCCCTGGTAAAACTGTCGAGCGAAATCAAATTTCACTGACCTCGAGGTCACCGCTGACGTAACAAGTCAGGTCAAAGTAAAAATTATCGGCATTTCTGCTTGTTCACAATTAAGGCTCTGACCGCCGGCTGCCAAGTCCGATCAGGCTCATTTTTTGGCTTACGCACTCCTTGACATATGCCTTAGATACCCTGAGGGTAACGAACTTTTACTTCGAATTTTTTAGGTCAAGGCCAGGTCATCCAAGGGACGAAAATTGTATATGATGTATCGGTCACGTGAAGCATGTTTTATGATCCATTTTACTCGTAGATTTCGAAAACAATGTGGTCCGTGTCATTTGAGGTCATTTTCAGCTGAATTTAACGGAGGTCAGGTCACTTTCAGGTCAGAAAAGTTTAGGGTTTGAAAATAAAAATTTTCAACAAAAAAGGTGCCTATCAGATGCAGTTTGAGCTCAGAAACACGATGGCGCCATTTATCGTGCAGTACGATGTCAAAAACGTACTGAAAAATGGTTTTAAAAAAATACATAATTGTAAAATTTTGACAATAATGCAAACAACTTGGCTATTTTTGAAGATATTGGGCTAAAACTTGCTAGAGTAGTTCATCAGTTTGTGTTCTATCACATATATTCCGTTTTTTTGCGATAAATCATGTATTTTTTTTTTAATCAAAAAATATATTTTTTGTAATTGTAACAACATATTTTTCAAAATTTTCAAAATGTCGAAAATTGGAGATAGCAGTTTGATAGCTACGTGTATTTGAGGTCAACTGATGCAAAGAAATTGGATCTAGCTTTGAAAATAAGCTCTTGAGAGCGTTTGCCATAATTCAATATTTTGATCAAAATCGGCCGATATGACGTCACTCTGACGTCATTTCCGGCCAAACTATGGTAGCTAGAAGGTTGAAATTTTAACACAAGGTGCCAAAGTAATTCTGCTGAAGGTACCGTGAGTTTCGTGTTGATACGTCAAATTGTTAAGAAGATATTGCCGAAAAACGGGAGGGGGCTCTGTAGATGCCGGGTTCCGTGTCTACGTAGCTTGAACGTAACGGATGCAGCGGCCGCAAACGTAAATCGAGGTCCCGCGATCCCTATTCCCCAACACAGGCGGCGGCCACTTCCTGGTCTGCGCAACATGGCGGCACCGTTTGACACCATCTGGCGGCCGATGCGCCTTCCATATTATAGAGTTCAGTGGGGGTACCCAAGAGAGTGCATGCGACTCATGCGCGAGACAAGTGGGGAAAATGAGCTTAGGCGGCGGTATGCGCCAAAGTATACGCGATATTGACAACTATGAGTGAACTATAAGCATGAGCTACTCAGATATGACAATGAGCTACTGAGCTCTGATAACTGCGGGGCGCTCGATTTTTGTCATTACCCGGCTCTTTTTTATGCTGCGTTACAGGTTTAGGTGGTCTCTTGGAAAAACGGTGATAGCTCAGAGCAGAATGTAGCTAAAGACATCTGGTCTTCGTCATTGGAAAAACAACCTGTGTCAGAAGTGACACTAAGAAAATGCTTGCACGCACAGAAACCTTTCGTTGCTAACGGCACTTCCATTACTTCATAATCAACCATAGTGGCCCACCCCATGAATTTGTATCAAGAATATGGCATATGGCAAGACATACTCATATATGGGGAGGCAGTTCATAGACGGCTTGACTCGCTTGACTCTCCTGCAGGGGATCCAGTTCATTGTGGGCCCGGTACTCACATATGGGGAGGCAGTTCATAGTAGGCCTCTCCCTTGTACTCCTTGACGTGATTTTCGCCGTAGATGCCGAGTTCTTTGTAGGGGTTGACGGAGACCAGCACCGGCCCGATGTAGGTCTGTGGATGAGGCCGGCGGTCAGCGCAGCGGCCACAGATCGCGGTCGCACCCAGCCCTCATTAGCTACAGAGTACAGAGTCAGAGTCAGAGTCAGCGGCCACAGACCGCAGCGCTGGGCCGGCCGTCGGCGGTCGCACCTAGCCCTCATTGGCTACACAGTCAGAGTCAGAGTCAGAGTCAGCGGCCACAGATTGCAGCGCTGGGCCGGCGGTCGCACCCAGCCCTCATTGATGAGCAGTGTAGGGGGGGGGGAGGTAGCCAGCCCTCAGTGATGACGGGCAGGGGGGGGGGCTGCCATCAGTGATGACGGACGGTGTATGGAAAACTGCCCTCAGTGATGACGGACGGTGTATGGGGGGGGGGGTAGCCAGCCCTCAGGGATGACTAACGGTGTAGGGGGGGGGGGAGGGGACAGCGAGTTTCACTGATGAACGGTGTTTGAAGGGTCGCCTGGCTTTAGAGCCGTGTCTGCTGTATACCCAGCCACGCTTTGTCAACATATATGTAGATCAGAGAGCCTACCTACACCACGCAGTACACTGTTCACGTATATGAAATACAAGCAGCCAAGGCCTACTGCACTCGGCAGGAGCTCTGATAGGCGGACGCAGCGCTGCGGAGTCGATGGATTTTAGACGACTCCGACTCTGACTCAGGCTTCCATAAATCCACTCCCACTCCGGCCTCGACTCTACCTCCGTGTTCGGACATTTATTATAAAATAAAGATGGTAAAGTTACTTCAGAGATGCCTGAAACAATCTTGCCTCCTATGATTGTTTGTGGTTAACTTATTAATTAAAAATAAACGGGGTTCTCTAAATCCATTTCATTGCATAAATGATACATTTTGTTAACGTATTTCAACTTAATATGCATAAACTTCTTCTTCAAAAGCTATAGGAGAATGGCTCATGGCTCACTCGTGGAAGATCGAATATCTTTCCCTCGCGTGTTCCAGAAAAAACCTCGCTCCTTCGTCGCTCGGTTTTTCAGTAACCCGCTTGGAAAGATATCCTTATGTTCCGCCCCCCCCCCCCCTTCTAACTCGGCTCCTGGGCCACGTAACGATACGCGGAAGGCGGTGTTCGAAAGAGCGTCAAAAATAATGACGAAGTCACTTGGGTCACTTTTTTGGTCAGGTCAAAGGTCAGGTCACCAGAGGTCATTGAAGGCAAAATTTCGCCGATTTCCAGGTCGAATGTCGACAATTTCCAAGAAACTAACGCATAACTCGGGAATCAATAGAGCTACAGCGCTGCGGAAAAGCGCATTCGATAGCTCTATTAACGCCCTTTCTGAGTAATTCTCTCAGATTTGACCTAACGTCAACGGTTTTGCCTGCAGGGGGCAAATACTGCAAAAATACCGATTTTTTTTTAACGTTTTTCTGCAATTACTTTTGACCCAAGCCTTGTACGAGCTTACTTTTACCAGCATCGTGTTCCTCTCGTCAAGACGCATCGAATAAACCATAACTCGACCTTGAAAGGTCAACTTGAAAATTTGACCTCAGGTCAAGGTCATGACCTGACCTGAAAGGGTCATGTTGCATATCCGTCGATCCGTATCGTCGAGCTGAACACATCTAAGGCGTTTTCATCGCTCTAGCATGTCTCTATCAAAGGTTATTTGCAAAAAAAAAACTGTTAGATACCATTCTTTACCTGAGATGACCTCAGGGCCCAGGGGCATAAACAGGGGTCACAGACACCATTTTCATGTTCAGTGTGTCTACATTACTTGTAATTCAGTGTTTGGGAGTGTTTATAATGTCCTTCGTCCAAACGAGGCGCATTTCAATTTTCTCCCATTGACTTATAATGGGGAGGTCGCAAAATTGACCTGACCTTAGGTCATCGACATTAAAATTCTGAGATATACATTTTGTACATGTTATTGCTCTTAGCAATCGCTGAAAGTTTCAAAGCAATCGGTCACTCGGTGTAGCTATGGCAGACATTTGAAAGTTTTTATGAGGTGAGGTCACTGTGACCTGGTGACCTGACCTTGAATGACCTTGGTCTGAAATTTTCACAACATGTGTAGAATTGATGTATGATAAGGTGTACCAAGAACGGCAGCGCGGGATTCGCGAAAAACCACAGGGGGTTCAACCCCCCCCCCCCCCCCCCAGCAGGGCGCGGGTTAAAAGATTTATATTACTTTGTTTTTAATTTCATCACAACCATCCTCAAAAAATGGCTCGGTTATGAACGCATCATCACTTGAATGCTTGATTTTTGCTATGAATCCTCGAGATCTTATCTTTGCATCTCAAAGGGATGCAAATAAAATGTACACTCTTCTATGTCAACTCTGCTAGCCGGATTGGCTTGTTAAATGTCCACGACGATCTCGGGCCCAGGGGCGAGGTGGGAGGTGGGAGGGTCGGAGGCCGCACTCACGTATATGAGGTCGGCGTTGAAGCGCTTCCTCAGGTTGTCGACGAACGCCTCCTGGCTGCGGTAGTCCTCCAGCAAGACAAAGTCCTCCACGCCGATCTGGTCGCGTGCGTGCAGGGCGCGCTCCATGGTGTCGGCTCACTGGGCAGCCCCGCTGTCGGCAGAGGAACGGCCGGCATCAGACAACCTCGGCCGCCAGCCACGCCGCACGACGCTGCATGCACGCGTGTGGGTGTGGGTGGGTGCGTCACGCGTGTGGGTGTGGGTGTGCGTCACGCGTGTGGGTGTGGGTGGGTGCGTAACGCGTGTGACTACAGCCGGGGGTACACTGTAGGGAAACTAAACATATACACATGTCACACGGAGCATTAGGAAAAGCCTCGTATCAGCTGATGGACACAATGGAGGGACGTGTAAGGCATACTTGAAATCGCAACAACAACGAGCGTCGCTGGTAGAAACCATCACTTTGCCTGGTGGATAATATTATTTCTCATACTTGCAGATTGTAGCGTTGTAGCTTGTAGAATGTAGGTTATGTAGATTAGGTTAGGTTAGGTGAAATGAATTATGAATAGTTTATTTTTATCTAATCTAACCACTTTTTATATCTAACCTAAACTACCTAACCTGACCTAACCTAACCTAACATATAGCCTACAGCTCACAATCTACAACTTACAGCCTTCAAGAAATTAGTAATATTATGGACCATCAAAGTGATGGTTTTCCACCATCGACGCTCGTTGTTGCACTTTCCAAATACGCGCGAGTAAGACGTCACTGACGTCATTAAATACTAAGTGACGTATGTTCAACGGAAATATTTTTGGGTCATGTGTGGTATTGGTGGAAAGACGTGCTTAAACATGCTGGCTTGTGGACCCCTCACGAACTTTCAGAGCCCAGGAACAATGATTCCAGCTATGCTGGGATTGATCCTGGCATGACCGTGACCCTTAGCGAAGCAGGGTGACCGCGTGGCCTGACGACTGATGACAGGAGCGTGCAGCGAGCCACTGCTGGCTGCACCTGCCCAGTGCCGGGCCGGAGGCACGTGCGGCGAGCGCATTGAGCGTGAGCCTATGGTGGGGGACAGAGCCGGACACTGCTCTGAGTCAGTAGTAACAGAGCGGACACTGCTCTGAGTCAGTAGTCACAGACCGGACACTGCTCTGAGTCAGTAGTCACAGAGCGGACACTGCTCTGAGTCAGTAGTCCCAGACCGGACACTGCTCTGAGTCAGTAGTCACAGACCGGACACTGCTCTGAGTCAGTAGTCACAGAGCGGACACTGCTCTGAGTCAGTAGTCACAGACCGGACACTGCTCTGAGTCAGTAGTCACAGAGCGGACACTGCTCTGAGTCAGTAGTCCCAGACCGGACACTGCTCTGAGTCAGTAGTCACAGAGCGGACACTGCTCTGAGTCAGTAGTCCCAGACCGGACACTGCTCTGAGTCAGTAGTCAGTAGTCACAGAGCGGACACTGCACTGAGTCAGTAGTCACAGACCGGACACTGCTCTGAGTCAGTAGTCAGTAGTCACAGAGCGGACACTGCACTGAGTCAGTAGTCAGTAGTCCCAGACCGGACACAGTTCTGAGTCAGTGGTCACAGACCGGACACTGTCAAGGTGTGTGACAGCTCTGTCGACCCGCGCTCTGGTGCCGGGGACCGTGTGTCAGCCGCGCTGCTCGGCCACACGTGTGGGTGCCGGGGACCGTGTGTCAGCCGCGCTGCTCGGCCACACGTGTGGGTGCCGGGGACCGTGTGTCAGCCGCGCTGCTCGGCCACACGTGTGGGTGCCGGGGACCGTGTCAGCCGCGCTGCTCGGCCACACGTGTGGGTGCCGGGGACCGTGTGTCAGCCGCGCTGCTCGGCCACACGTGTGGAGGGCGGACACGGACAGAGCACTGCAGCCTGCCGAGGGCGGGTGTCGGGGCACCATGTGCATCGTGCATACCTATTATCTACACTGCAATGCACCCAGTCCACCATGACAAGGTGGCACTAAAAGCTTTGGATATTGTGTAGGTACTACCTAGAACGCCACAGACGTATTCTGACGGGACAACCATATGGCGGCCTTCCATGAGATTGGTGCGGCCCGCTCGGCGTGGGCGGTCGTCCTGAGCGAGCATTTGTAGGGCTTCCCGGAGTCGGCGATGAAGGGATTGTCGACCCGACCCGACCAGTCGATCGATAACCGGCACTGGGTAATCGGGCCAGATAGGCGCCGCGTCAGAGGCGGTCCCCCCCCCGCGCCTTCGGGGAGAGGAGGACGGGGGGGGGGGCAGGGAGCTCACGGGTCAGATAGGCGTCGCGCTGTACCGGAGGGTTGGGGGTGGGGGGTTATCACATAGCTCAGCATGTGACATCATTGTGACGTCATGGCGCTAGTTGGTCGGCCGATTCGTGTGATACACTTGGTGAATACGCGCCCGGGCCTGCCGAGTGATGGAGCAGCAGACCGCGCGGTCGCCGACGGTCCCCTGTCGGCGACCGGCGCCGCCCGTCCGCCGCAGGTAGCACTGCAGTGTGGTTAAATTCATTTTACGTTAGGGGGAGGATGTAGAAAAAAGACCGGAAAGGATGTCGTTGTTTACATAAAACTTGACTTCTTCAACCATTTTTAAGCACTGTTTTTATATGTCACTAGACAATGATGAAGAAATATTAAATACTGATAAAACTTTGAAGGCATTCTGATATTCGGGATGTTAAATGAGGTTTTAAAGTCGGGTCATATAGGTATTTGAACATTTTGGTTATTCAAATGGTTGTCTTGGCGTGTTGTTAGAGTTTTCGAGGTTTGTCTTTCTCTTGCTCCTAAACGTTTGGGTTCGAGGTTATTATTATGAGTCGTGACTGCCGTATGGATGTTTTGATTTACATTTTAGGATGTCATTATACTTTTCGTTATGGTTGGATTTCCCCGCAACATTACAATCTTGGACACACTGTAGCACTGGTGTCCGCAGAGCACTCACTCAGCCCATTCAGTCAGTAAAGCAGAGCGAGCTAGCCTGCACTGACAGCGGCCGTTCCAGCTCCATGGCGACTGCTGCAGCCGAACACAGGAGCTCCATGGCGACTGCTGCAGCCGACCACAGGAGCTCTACCCAGGCGGCGGCAGCCGACCACAGGAGCTCTACCCAGGCGGCGGCAGCCGACCACAGGAGCTCTACCCAGGCGGCGGCAGCCGACCACAAGAGCTCTACCCAGGCGGCGGGTCAAGGTGGCACCGGCGCCGGAGGTGAAAGCAAGCCAGGGCACCGGCACCGACCGAGGCCGGTCACCAATGGTGCCGGCGCAGCGGAGCCAATTAGGTAATAACGGCCAGCTGGAGCATGAAGACCATCCACATACCACCAGCACCACAACGGGACCCAGTCGGACCCAGTCTCAAATCAGAGCTCCGAGCTTCACGGTTCACAGGTCTCACCACCAATTATGGGGGGCGGGAATTACTAGGGCGCGCGCCGCCACCACAGCTGTAGATTGCACACAATGCTAAAGCAATGTTACGCAGCTCTTTGAAACCGTACAACCATCAGCAAAACCGCGCGAACGGTGTACCGTAAAACAGGGTGAAGTGAGACACTTTTTACTTGCAGACCTCTGCAATTTTGTACCTTTTGTAAAAACCCCTGTGCTTCTGTAACAGAAAATTAGACAACCGAACACCAGTAATGCCAAAAAGTCTCTCTGTATTTCCAAAATGCTCCAAATAAATTTGCACGTAAAATTATTTCCGCGTGAAATAATTTCACGCACTTAATTCAACTCACCACTTCTGGCACACGCCCCCCTGATCTTCAAGATTACTAAAACACTCAACACACACAAAATATCAAAAATGCTGACTTCGGTCACGAAACCGGCCAAGCAACACTTCGTCGGTCACAGAACCGCGGGCACCATAATCGGCCACCAAACCGTGCACCTTATCGGTCACCAAACCGGAGCACTATCGCCGCTCACCACCCGCGGGCACCATCACCGGGAACCACCGCCGGTCTCCAGCACCGGTCTTCATCACCGGGATCTATCACCGGGATCCATCACCGGGCTCCATCACCGCGATCTATCACCGGGATCCATCACCGGGCTCCATCACCGGACTCCATCACTGGGCTCCATCACCGGTCTCCAGCACCGGTATCCAAATCGGACGAAATCGAATCTATCGTTGCTCGTTGGTTCGTTCTCGTCTCGCCTCTTCGCCATTTCAGTAGCTCCGTTCGTATTCCCTGTCGAATTATATACCAGTATAACGCCTTTTGAGGCGACTAACGGAGCGAGCGAGAGGGTGGGCCTTGCACGTGCGAAATTGCGAGGGGGTACCTCCAACTGACTTGTGCACGGCACCCTACTAACCGGTCTCTAGCGATGTGCCAAATTTGAGCACAATCGGCCCAGCCGTTCTCGAGATCTGGAAGCGGCACCCCGCACGTGCGCACGTGCAAAATGGGTCCCAACTGACTTGTGCACGGCACCCTACTAACTGCTCCGTAACCGTGTACCAAATTTGAACGCAATCGGTCCAGCCGTTCTCGAGATCTGGAAACGACCCCTGCACGTGCGCACGTGCAGCAGCACCCCAACTCTGGCACATGGATATGCATTGCCTAGTGGGTGCCTACCTACATGCCAACTTTCAGCGCAATCGGCCCAGTAGTTACCGAGATATTGCAACAATTACAAAAGTGACACCTCTTCGTTTTGCACGTGGCACGTGCATAAGGGGTCACTCACATGCATCGGAAATAGTTCAATACTTGGTAGAAGGAATGAAGCTACCCTACAAAAATTACCGCGTGTAAATCGGTCAAGTGGTTGCTGAGATATAAGCGTCGCAGAATCGTGACGGCCGGCCGGCCGCTCATACTCAGAAATTTCCGTTATTCTACGTAAGACTCCGCTCGCTTCGCTCGCTCCGTAACAATACCGAAGACCGAAATAAGGCCGAAATAGCTTGTAATAGAAAATTAGACAACCGAACACCAGTAATGCCAAAAAGTCTCTCTGTCAAGCTCTCTGTATTCACAAAATGCTCCAAATAAATTTGCACGTAAAATTATTTTCGCGTGAAATAATTTCACGCACTTAATTCAACTCACCACTTCTGACACAGCTTCAATTGTTAAAGAG